CCCAGGCATGCAGACTGGAGTGGTCTCCTGGCCCTGGTTAGGTTGCCCAGCATTTCAGCTGAGAAGGGTGGGCCTGACTAATGGGACAGATTCTTCCTGCTTGTGACCCAGGGATTGACCCCAGGCCTGGGCCCAGTGCTCTCTGTGCTGGTGATGTCAGTGAGAACGAACATGTTCACGTGGTTTCCCCTCCAGAGGAACCATTATTCGTCTCTCTGATGCTTGTTGTCCCGGAGATAAAGAATATTCTACCCTCGATCCAAGGGTACAGACAGTAGATACCTGGGGTGCCTGTCCCTGCAGACCTGGGCTGTCATCTGTGTAGTTGCCTGGGGAATGGAATCAAGCCCAGTGATTTGGGTGGGGATCTCCCAGTCAGTGTCCAGCAAAGGAAGCTCCCCCCCACCCTGGATTCCCGTCTTCTCTCTTCAAGGCCCCACACACTTGTCACTCTGACATCAGGGCCACGTACCTTCCACCCTGTGTTGCCTTCAGGGCTCCTTGAGAGCCATTCAGGCTCGCATCACGCCCACTGCAGATCACACCTTCCAGTGTGTACGCGGTTACCCTGCTAACCGCCTTCTGTAGCTCCTCACTCCCACCAGCATGCGAGGCCAGTTCTTTAACCAAGCACTCAGGGTCTCCTCCACCCTTGGCCTTGGCTCCTGGCAAACGACATGCTGCCCCTCATGCCTCTGAGCCTTTGCAGGCTCATCTTGAACAGCCCCAGAACGAACACCTACTCATCCTTCAGAACCCTTTCCAGTACTCACCCTCATGAGGCCACACTAAATTCCCTCCCTCCTGGCCACACTGTCTCCTCCTGGTCTGGCCTCACCTTGCACTCTTCTCGCTGCGTTTGCCCCATAGTCCTGGAGGGCTGTCCTGTTTCCCTTGAGAGCCCAAGCCCAGGAGTGCATCAAGTAGGTAGCTGTCAGTGTCGCCTCAGAGGAATGTGCTTCCCTGTTGCACAGTGAATGGTTGTGACCTGAAACCAGAGACAGAAGAGGAGCTGGTGCCAGGGACGCTAGTGCTGTGGGGAGCCTGGCAGTCCTTTGGGATCCTGGCTGTTGGCTGTCGGGTGTCCCTACTTCCTCTCTGGGTAGTGCTGTGACTGGTACTGTGCAGAAGCAGGGCTTGGCTTCCTAGGAAGGCTGTCTGGGCGGTAGTGGAGAGGCAGAGCTGCTCACAGTGGGCTGTCATTTGTCCCCACGTCCTAGATTCTTCGAGAACAAGGGCACTCACCTTCTAGATCCTTGTGGAATTTAGGAAACTGTTTTTCATCAAAGGTTTTTCATTAAAGGCATTTAAAACTTTAGCTCAAGAAACCAGGCATTCCAGTTCTCAGACTGGATTCACAAATTTGTTAGGCAATGTGAAATCCCAAGTTCACTCTCTTAGGATTAAAAAAAATTTACTGCTGCATTGGCCGGGAATCGAACCCGGGCCTCCCGCGTGGCAGGCGAGAATTCTACCACTGAACCACCAATGCTTGGCATGTTGGTAGTTGTGTGCACCTCCCTTTATCCCCATTCCTGGGCCTCCTCGAATATATGCGGAGTCAAATTATGAGGCCAGTCTCTGACGCTGCCACATCAGCACAGCCGCCAAAACAGGAAGTGGAGCTCCAGAGCAGGAGGAGGGAGCAGGCGAGAAGCCAAAGAGGGGCGGGTGTGTGTGTGTGTGGGTGTGTGTGGGTGTGGGTGTGTGTGTGTGTGGGTGTGTGTGTGAGGTTAATTTGCCTTCAGGCCTCAGAAATTATACCTCAAGTCTTCCTTCTCATTATGTAGCTAGAATGCTGAAACTTGGGGTGACTCTCCCTCTGATGTTTGGTCCTCCCATCTCATTCTGCCTTCTGTGGAGCTGCTGCACTGTTCCACTGTTCTCAGGTTTCACACCAACGTCTTACTGGCCACAGGCCAAGGCTGTGAAGTGAAGCAGGAGTCCCTTCCAGGTAGAGATGGGAAGGCCAGGCTCCCACAGCTTCTCTGGAGACCCCAGTGGCAGGAAAGTGTGATCCCAGATTTGCAGACTCCCCATGCTTGAGGAGACTGGCTCCTCCTTCAGGATCTCTGTGAGGGGACTGACCAGGAAGAGACAAAAAAACACTGTACTGCATTGGCCGGGAATCGAACCCGGGCCTCCCGCGTGGCAGGCGAGAATTCTACCACTGAACCACCAATGCTCCAGCTGTTTTCTGCCACATCTGCAAGGTTCTCCTCACAAGGCTGTCCCTGTAACCACCCAGACAGAGTCACTGGGCTTCACCTGGCTGATCTGTCCAGTTTGGGAACCAGACAATTTTATGTAGATGCATCCTCCCCTTACATTGCTTCTTCAAGAGCTGGGGCCTGTAAATGGTGTTCAGCTTCCAGCTGCAGGCCCTTGGGTCATAGATAACTCTCAGCCCCTAAGATCAGAGCAAGAGGCGCCTCACAGGCCACCTGTGCAGCCCCTTCCTGAAATACTATCCTTACTCCAACATCGCCAGCTCGGGACCCAGGCCTGCTTTGTCCCTTCCTCTGTGAACAGTGCCTGGCATGTCACAGGCCCATACATTTGCTGGATTAAATCCTTCAGCCATTGTCCACTCTGTCTTTGAATAAACTCTTTGCAGGAGTGATCTCTGTCTCACAAGACAGTTTTCGAACAGCTCTCTTTATTAGAAGTGCCTGACACTGGGGGGCTGTAGCTCAGTGGTAGAGCACTTGCCTAGCACCCACAAGACCCTGGGTTCAGTCCCCAGCGTCACAAAAAAAGAAAATTCCTGACATGAATATGGGACCACACAAGCACTTTTTGGACATGACCTTCCTTAAAATTCTTCAATATAAGAGAGGAAAAAAGCTCCCATTTATGCAACAGATCAGCAATGTACCTCCCCTGACTAGATGCAGAGGATAAGAGAGTCCAGGCAGTTACCTGGAAAAGTCCCTGATCTCTAGGTGGCCCTGCCTCTCCCATCTCACAAACACCTCCAGGCCTCCCACCCCTCACTCCCTGTACTGGAGATTGAACCCAGGACCTTTCACACTGAGCTACATCCACAATACTTTTTTATTTTGAGACAGGGTTTCACTAAGTTGTAAGTTGTTAGACTTTAACTTGCAGTCCTCCTGCCTCAGCCTCCCAGAGTGCTGGGATTACAGGTGTACACCACCACACCTGGCACAAGCATCCTCAGGCTTCTTAAGTTATTCTTTCATGTACTGCTCAAAATCCATCAGAGGCTTCCCCGTTACTGTGATGGGAAATCCATTTTCCCTAATTGAACGTGGCAGACTTAACCCAGCCAGCCCATCCTAGTCTATTTCCCAGCGCTCTTCTATCCTCTGGATGCCAGACAGGGTTGGCTTGCCTTTGCTCACACAGTGCCTTTGTCCCCACCTCCGAGATCCACTCAAGTCCCACTTCTAGGAAGACTTCCCAGACCACCCCAGCTGCAGCTCCCCAGCCAGGGATCTGGTGGGTTGTGCACCATTGTCCCACACGAAGCTTCTCACTGCAGCTTGGCCTTGTTCATGTGTCAGAACAGCCAGGACTTCCCTCAGCCCCTCCATTGCCTGCCCTGGGAGGCGGCCCCATAGTGGATGCACACATCCGCCTGCTCCTCCCTGCCTGTCACTGCCTCCAAGGCGCCATCCTTCCTTCCCCTCATATTCCGTGAGCTACTAATGCTTTTCCATTTCATTCTAGAAATGATCTTCCAGCTTTTGCCATGGCCCTGACTGTATTTCCAGCCCTCTTTATCATGATAGCTGCAGTATACTGAGAGTTTTCTTCCTTGGCTCCAGTTTCCTGCTGTCAAACCAGCTCCCCATCCGGCCCTCCAGGCTGCTGCCAGCAATAGCACAGGTCCGAGCTTGTCACTTCATTGCTGGGAAACTGCCACTGGATCTTCTTTGTCTTGTCTGTCTCCTTCCACACACCAGACTCCTCGTGCTTCTCTAAATGGGCCCGCCCTTCCCTGAGCTTGAGCTCCCCTCCACTAGGGTGTGGGTGTTGTGTGTCCTCCCAGAGGCTCATGTGTGAGGAATGTGGTGACATTGGGAAGTGGGACATATACGAGGTGGGGACCTAGTGAGAGGTCTTTAGGTCGTCTGGGGTTGCTTGGGTCCCTGCCCTCTGAGGGGTTCAGGTAATCTCCTGTGCCCCCTTCGGAGTTCTTGCTGGAGGATTGTTATTCAAGCCTGAGCCTGGCCCTGGCCCTATATGGAGATGTGACTGCTTCTTCCCATACATCTTCCCTCCCACCTTTGCCACAGCCATGAGGTAGCACACCCATAAAAGGCCTTCACCAGAACTGAGTCAGTGCAGACTCAGTGCCCTTGAGCCTCTGGAATATTAGACAAATGAACCTCTTTTCTTCATAAGTAGCTTGCAGGTATTTCGTGATAGAAACAAAAAACTGACTTGTATACCTGGCAAATGCCTGTTAATGTTTTTAAGATCTGACTCAAGTGAGGTCTTCCCATTGGCTGTCCTGGACACAGGAAGAGCATCTGATGCACATCCCTGCCTCTCTGGCAGCATACATGCATGCCACTTTGCCGCAATTACTCGTTTGTGTGTGGCTCTTGCCCGTTAGAATGATGTGTCCCCCACACTGTCCCTGAAATAATGGTGCAGATGCAGAGGACTCCTCAGATTCATGCATACTTGAGTAAGTGTCCACGAAAGACATTTGATTGACTGACAGATGACACATCCTAAGGTTGGTCCCCGTGAGACACTGCTTTCCATTCTCAGAATCCTATCAGAGATAATACACTGTTCTTCATTCTGTTGCACACAAAGGGAAACTGAGACCCAGAATAAGGAAGCAGCCATGACCCAGCTAGCAGCAGAACTGAGAGGACCTGCCCAGAGAGGCCCAACTCCCTGATTCCTCTTTCTGAATTGGTCGTTGTCCTTCCCCGTGCCCGCCCCACCTCCCCTCTCGGGAGCAGAGGTCACCTGGCTGCACCCATCCCACAGCTCCCTCTCTCCTTTCTCTCCAGGCTGGTGCGGGAGTTTGTGGCCCAGAACAACACCGTGCAAATCAAGCATGTGATCCAGACCCTGTCTCAGGAGTTTGCCCTGTCCCAGCACCCCCACAGCCGGAAAGGGGGCCTCATCGGCCTGGCCGCCTGCTCCATCGCACTGGGCAAGGTGGGCCTTCTGAGGAGGACATGCCAGTGACGCCCTTCACTCTGACCGAGACCCCGCAGAGCTGGGGTTGCAGACCTGTATTTCATCACCACTCTTATCACGCTTAAGACCAGCAGGGCTGGCTTTGTGGCCTTGCAGCCGTGTACCCAGTCATGGCCCCTCTGCTGACTTGGGCAGAGTCTTGAGCCCACCCCGCCCTCAGAGGTCCAAGCATCTCCAGGGCAGCCAAGATGCTGCTGGTACTGCAGGCTGAGAGGTCTGGGTCGGCCTGATTCTGACCTGCTTTCTCGTCCTGCCCCATCACAGGACTCAGGGCTTTACCTGAAGGAGCTGATCGAGCCGGTGCTGACGTGCTTCAATGATGCGGACAGCAGGCTGCGCTACTATGCCTGCGAGGCCCTCTACAACATCGTCAAGGTGGCTCGGGGTGCCGTGCTGCCCCACTTCAACGTTCTCTTTGATGGACTGAGTAAGGTGACTGTCCTCCTCCTAGCTGAGCTGAGCTCAGCTTACTCACCTCCCTTGACCTCTTGGGACCTTATGTGCTTGAGGCCCTCTGCCCAGATTTAAGCAGAACAGATAAGCATGTGGCTGCTTAAGGAATACATGTTGTTTGTTGAATCTAATACTTTTTTTTTATAGAATTTTTAATGATATGTGTGGGTACAATATTTATTGCCTTCATCCCTTAAACATCATTAGTAAAAAAATAAAAAGCCATACGTCGTATTAAATTTTCTGTAAACCAAACCATCTTTTCAAAGTAGAAGTACAAGGTATGTTTCAGAATTCCGGGTTGACTGCTATTTTCACAAAAAAGAGAATCATCTGCATTGTTTTCTTGTTGACCTGTGGTACTAAAAATTTTTTTTTAAATAATTTTATTATCAAACACACACACACATACAGAAATTAAAACCATTCAAAGAAGAACAATGCAAGGGGAAAAAAACTACAATAATATTCAAATACAGTAGAACTCAACCAAAACAA